TGACCATGTTTTCCAGGTGAATTTACTTTGTTGTTTTGATAATCAGATTGGTTCGAGATTGCAGACAAACGGAAAATCAACCAACTTCTCCCTTACATTCTTACCATATCAATGACATGATAGATTTAATGAAATAGAAATTCAAATTGACATACAAAGAAAGTAATTTAGCAGGGGTAAGTGTATTTGGCGTCATGACAGTCGTCACTTGTTTGTAAACATAACGGTCATTCGGTTGCGAGTTCAACTCCAAGCACGGTTGTGGCCACCTATTCACAGTGGGGAGTTTTGACTGGTGGCAGCGATAGTATAGAGAGCTCCGGGAACGTACTATCGCTGTGAGGAGCTTGGGTGTTTATCATAATAGAATGGAGATAAAACATAATGTGTTGGCGAATGGGTCCAGGATGTTTATCCAAGCTCCTTCCCAGCGCGTGACACCTTCGTTACACTCTCGGTAACATCGCTGCCACCAGTGTGGGCGCGGCCATTACAAGAATCTTGAAATTTGCCCTCCAACCCCATATGTAGTAACGTTTATACTTTTGTTTATGTCTGTGAGAATGCCATCATATTTTAATTTGAAAAGGTTTACGACTGACCATGTTTTCCAGGTGAATTTACTTTGTTGTTTTGATAATCAGATTGGTTCGAGATTGCAGACTAACGGAAAATCAACCAACTTCTCCCTTACATTCTTACCATATCAATGACATGATAGATTTAATGAAATAGAAATTCAAATTGACATACAAAGAAAGTAATTTAGCAGGGGTAAGTGTATTTGGCGTCATGACAGTCGTCACTTGTTTGTAAACATAACGGTCATTCGGTTGCGAGTTCAACTCCAAGCACGGTTGTGGCCACCTATTCACAGTGGGGAGTTTTGACTGGTGGCAGCGATAGTATAGAGAGCTCCGGGAACGTACTATCGCTGTGAGGAGCTTGGGTGTTTATCATAATAGAATGGAGATAAAACATAATGGATAATCCAGTATAGACGTTAACTACTTTGATATAACCACGAGCACGTGTATGGTGCTGACAAACCTAGAAACATGAATGTGAGATTTGAACCCCATGGTATAAAGTTTCTGGCACGTCTATGGGACCCACTTGGCCACCCGTGCCCCCTGTTAACGACGTTACACTCACATTGAAACATGTCACACATCAAGTTCTGTGGTTTTCTGGATGACCCAAGCGTTAGCGCTCATTAATTTCCACACTTTAGCCTTTTAATTCCGAAAAGGTACTCATGGGAATAATACATCTTAAGTGAGCATATTTCAACACAGCTCAATCCCATTCAAGATAGTCCATACAAAAACATTACCAACCCAGTTAGGCCAGGTTCACACAGTGCCGATTATGGCTCCCGTTTGAGATCAGAGAGCGCTAAGACACAAAAAGTGAAAAGACGGATTACTATCCTCAATGATCTGGAATGTCCTATCATTGTCCAAACGCAGTCGTATAGGTTCGTAACAGAGTCCTACGGATCGGGAAAGGTCCAGAGAGGTCGACCAAGCACTCCCAACAGTATGGTCGGGAAACTCAGCCGATTTTGTCTAGTCGGATTACAATCGTGACTATGTCGTGACAGATTCTGCTGTAACGGATCAAAATCGTAACAATGTCCTGTGTTGTCTGGACTCTGTCCTGAGGATCGGGACGCTGTCGTGTTGAACGGGCATGAAATGTTCATTGCCGTTTCTTGTCGATAAGGTCCAGATTGCGTCCAGATCTTGTCGAATGCGAACCGTCTTTGTCGGTTCACTGTCCGGTCACTGTCTAATCTCTGTCGGATCGCATTCGGGAGAATCGGAACCATGTCGTGACAGATTCGGTCGTTTTTTACCATGCGGAAGAGGGGATCAGATGGGATCAGATTCCGATTGAGAAAGGGAGAACCGGGACAAATTCGGCTGGCAACGGCTGAATCGGGACGCTTCCTCAACAATATCTAATTGTTTGTGAATTTCCCGCCACGAATCACAGGATCTTGATCAGACTTTTGACAAATTTTGATCGAGATTGGCCCTATCAAGGAAGGCAATAAAAATCCTGAATGTGTGACTGAGCCCTTACAGGCTGTGATGACTCCACTGTGACCTGGGCCGGGACGCTACACAATGGAATGCCTATATGTCAGTTGTTGTTGTTTGTTTGTTTAACACCGCACAATATTCCAGCTACTTGATGGCGTTCTGTAAATTATCGAGTCTGGCCCAGACAATCCAGCGATTGGCATCATGAGCATCGATCCACGCAATAGGGATACGATGACATACATCAACCAAGTCAGCGAGTCTGAGCACCCGATCCCGTTAGTCGCCTCTTACGACAAAGAAAGTTGCCTTTTTCGGCAAGCATGAGTTGCTGAAGACCTATTCTACCCCAGATTTTCAAGGGTTGTATGTGTCAGTATCGCTACAACGTGGCTCGTTACTCATGCCGTTGGCGACTGGTGTTTGTGGTCCAGTCAAGAACTTACAATGCTTCTGCTGTTACGGATGGTCAAGTGTTCTGTACGACCTGGTGTTGGTTGCGTCACAACTTATTACAACCAATCAAAACACACGAACATTAAAATGACAAGGCGCCATATAATGGAAACACTGTTAAAAACAGCGTAATAATTGACTCATTCTCTCTCCCACCCACTCACTCACCCTAAACCCCCCCCCCCCCCCCAGACTTAGTCCCCCCCCCCCCCCCCCCCCCACACACACACACACACCCCAACCCCTCCTTCACTCACTCACTCACTCACTCCATATTACTTCATTCACAAAAACAGAAAGCCATATCTCAAGCTATCTGGAACAACATTGAAACTTTGGATATTCCCACCGGGATAAAATCTCGTAAAATATGAACGACGCATGCTGTCCCTCTAGTTATCGACCACCCCTTTCATTGATCGGGTTTAATTAGCAAGAGCGGCGATTTCTTAGAGAAATATTTATAGGTACTCAGTCCTCTGGCGTCATCTCGTTAGAAGGTGGACGTCGAATGATTTGTAGTTTGTATTTGTGGCTCATTTAACTCATCATACAGCCGCTGCCTCAGGGCCGGGAATAACCATCTACATCTGCTCCATGTATTCCAAATAGTAACAGTTGGCGGTCGTGAGCTACGCACTATCGACCAGTATTAATTAGATTTCGGGAAGTATCTTATCCTGTCTGCTTGTGACGGATGAATCAATGAGTAAGCGAGCCGTGGGTTATCGAGATATGTTTATGTATCGCGTGTGGTCATCAGAACCAGTTCAGGCATGAGACGTTCTTGTACAGAAAACCTGCAAATGGCCTCCCTGTAACTCTCTATTCGTTATATGAATAAATTTTATTCGTAAGAATTGTTCAGTTATGTTACGGTGTTGCAGTTTAATATACGAGAAAATATTAACCGAGGCAGGTCGTAGTTGTATATCACCTCGATGAAACCCAACAGCAAGGGTATGGTGCTGACAGGGTCCTAATCTGAGATTTAAAATAACGACCAGGTGATCGTGTCATTCGGCACTGTTATGTCACCTCGGAGAGCTCGGCCTAACGCATTTCCCAGTGGTCGTTGTCCCTGTCTAGCTCTCGGCATTAATGGGTATAAAAAAGGACCAGTCGGCTCGGAGTCAGTATACTGTGTCTGAAAGGTATTCGTGTCAAACTGTATCTCAGTGGGGTCCTGCATTGGTCTGGACTAGAACACGTAGCCACACACACGCACACACGCACGCACGCGCGCGCGCGCCCACTTCGCCATTCCACCTCACCTTCTCACCAAGTGGAAGTAGTATTATTCAAGTAACCTCGCAAACATTTTACATTGATTCGTTATTCATATTGCGCTATGTAACATCAGCCCAATTAACATCAAGTGGGGAGAAGGCACATTTTTGGCCGATAATGCCAAACGACGCCGAAGACTTATATTTTTTCTGGTTAGGCGACAAGTCTTCTACAATCCATAATCATCAGCCATGTTGACCATGCAATGCACATCCCTACAGAGAAAGAGACGTAAACTAGTAGTGCTGGCAACGCCAGTGTTATCACTCGTTGGAGCAGTGTCAAACTTTGGACTCGTGACTTCCCCAAAACCAGTTTCTGTACAACAGTTTGTACTGGAATTTAATTTTCGTGCAGGACTACATCCTTCGAAATACCAGTTTCGTGTAGGACGAACATTCAATCCAATCCACTTCTCTGGGAAACAAGGAAAGTGGGTTAGCCCATTGGATAAAGTGTTAACTCGTCATATCGACGCTCCTGGTTCTATTACCCACATGGGTACAACGTGTGAACCATTCTTAGTATCCTAACACCGTCATATGATTGGAATAACAGAAAACAGTGGCATAAACCCGAAACAGTCAATTCCACACCAGAAAACTAGACCTAAAACTCACTCTACAAGGACCCATATTATTTGTGAAGCACGCAGCAATAACAACGTCGAAAATACCAAAGGCATTTTTAATTCGTCGTTGGGGACACGGGTGGCCCAGTCGTCTAAAGGTACCGCAATTATCTTTGCAGAGTTGCGTCCCTTGGGCACGCCAGAAACCTATGATCGTAGGTTCGAATCCCGGTTTACACTGATTGTGTTTCTAGGTTTGTTAGCACCATACCCGTGTTTGTGGGTTTCACCAAATTGTAAATGTCCAGCCCTGCATCACTTCGGGCTGACATTAAGCTGACATGCCGTGATGTAACTGGAATTCTGTTCAAAGCGGCGTTAAACCTAAATCACTTACTCACACCAACTCTACAATCCGTCCCAGCTTGAGACAAATTAATTAACCTTAATTACAACCACACATCAGTCCCCATACATTCATCAGCCTATTAGGGTCCCTTCAGCTGCAACATACTTGCCACAACAACAAACCTATTGTTACACATTTTTGGACCGATTCCAGAAACAGGTCACAGTAACTGTGAGTCTAGGATTTGAGGAAACGTAGAGTATGGAAGAGCAGTACTACTCACACGACACCCACAGGACAGATGAGGCCATCATGGCAGTCAGCAGCTATGCACGCCTGTTGCGACAACCTTACCAATATATACAGACCGTGTCGAATTATAACTTGTTTCAGAAATACAATTCCCAAGACTGTCCGTCGTTTGCTTGGGTCAATCCGACTAGAGTACGCTCTTGCAAGGGCCACAATGTGGCAATGCGACAACGCGATAATGTCCCTTGTAGTATTCCATAGTACACTGTAGACAATTTTCAATGTTTTAAAGAATAAGTGAAGTTGACTGGTTGGCTTAAATAGGTAAACACGTCCCTTTAAATTTTCTTTGTTAGGGGGGCGGTCGGGTAGCCTAGTGGTTAAAGCGTTCGCTCGTCACGCCGGGTTCGATTCCCGACATGCGTACAATGTGGGAAGTCCATTTCTGCTGGCCCCCGCCGTGATATTGCTGGAATATTGCTAAAAGCGGCGTAAAACAATACTCACTCACTCACTCATTCTTTGTTAGGTTCCCATTACGACAGGTGTATTATGTTCTGGCGTGCCCCTTTTCGTGCGTTCAATATCACTTCAGGGCACTAAGTGAATTATAAACCCTTGTGAACTAGGATAGTGTGTATAGTTTTGATGTTTCTTTTCGTATTTAGTATTTAGACAAAATTAATGTCATATTCTTTTGTATCTTTCCGATTCAGGTTTTTACTTTTAACACTATTTTCATATTAAAAGACAATGTCGATATTAGTTTGTCATATTTGTTTTACATTTCATGGTCGATGCAATCGACAACCGTTGAACATGAAAGTAAGATTTCAAACTTCACACATTAAACCATTTCAAACCATGATATGTATACCCAATACTTCATATTGACTTGTATACTAGTATTAGTGCTATACGAAACCTGTTTTTAACTCTCCTACCGGAAACATATATACCAATATGAATGATAAGAGTAATTTGTATTAATGATGCCATTCGGGCAACAGTCATTTGTATTTCTGGAATAGCTTATAATGACTACTTTTAAGTGTATGTGTATTGCGAGATGTAATTGCTTAATGAACTAGTTCGTGGTCAGACCAACAAAGGTATTGTTTTTACTTCTCTACAAACCAGGGAGTGACAAATAGAAGTAGACGCTAGAAACATTTAGGTCAAATGGTCATGAATAAACTGTCATATCTGTTTGACCTTTACAACACTGTGGTGTTAATCTTAATTTGCTCTTCGCATAACCGACGAAATAAGCTACAGTAAACTACGTTTATAACGAAGACGCTCATGTCGTACTTACAGATATTACGAACTGTTTTTTGGTCTCATCCATTTGCTCTATATGGGCTGTATATATGCGTATAACGAACTATAGTTATAACGAACTCAAATAAGTGTTTTTTAGTTCGTTATAACCGTGGTTTATTGTAATTTAATTTGTACCACTCAGGGGAAACTAGAAAGGACCACTTTGAAGGCCCTATTTGTGATCTAGGGGCAAAGGGGTAGCCTAGTGGTACGTTCACACTCGATTCTCAACATGGGTGCAATGCGGGAAGACCATTGTGACTAAACTACTCTCGCGTGTCGTACCCGAGGGCGTTGCTCATGTTGTCAGTCACTGGTTTACATGGTCCAGATTCGATTATAACATGCCGGTGGGATGTAGCTAGAATATTGTGAACTGGGGCTGTCGCAAACACTTGGTTTCATCATTGATTTTCAGTGGTCCATATAATTTCCACAGCTATTTTGCCCTTAACGCCAAATGGAATCTTCGTCAGTGGATAATCTAGACTGGTTATTCTCTGGCATTGACAATTTAGGGAACAATTACTCGCTCTCTCCAAACTTAGGTGGCAGTCCTACAATTTGGTAAACCCCGTCAATAAATTCTCGTGTGGGTATGATTTCATTTTTGTACCCCTAAACTGTATAGTAAACACTGACAAAGATAACAAATCTTTATTGCCATTCTGAGTACACGATACAAACAGGTTCGTGAATGATGTTTTGTATACACGTATTGAGGTATGCGACCAGCACCGAGAGGCTAGTAACGGCTTAATTTACTCCAGACCCGTGAAGATACGGTGTAGAATAGGTCTTCAGCAACCAATGCTTGCCGTAACAGGCGACTATGCTTGTCGTATGAGGCGACTCACCTGATTGGGTGATCAGGCTCGCTGACTTGGTTGATGCATGACATCGTATCCCAATTGCGTAGACTGTTGCTCATGATGTCTATCACTGAATTTTCTGGTCCAGACTCGATTATTATCAGACCGCCGTCATATAGCTGTAATATTGCGGAGTACGGCGTTAAACAACATACAAACTGTCTCATCCTCTCTCTCTCTTTCTCTCTCTCTCTCTCTCTCTCTCTCTCTCTCTCTCTCCCCCCCCCCCCCCCCCACACACACACACACACACCCAGGAAGGATAAAAAGGTATATCTACCGATTGCTCGATTGATAAAAGACAACCCCGCACAGGGAAGGAATAACTATAGCCGCGCTGTTTTTCATTGTCAGGATACTCGAAGAAAGTACGCAACCATGCATAATACTTTGTTTTTTCCATCCACCAGAGCAAGGTCGATCAATCTAACAATACAAAACTTATCAGCTGAATTCTCAACCAAATGCAGTTTCCATATTTCATTTATTTTGGTTTTTGCTCCGGCCGCTTAAGCTGAGCATGGAGATGACGAACACTCACAATATGCATGGCCTAAGGCACATGAGCTGACGTCAATGTTATCTAACGTTACACTGCTTGTAAAGTAATGAGTCACGATAAAACAATCAGTAACACACAACAAACACATTATTGTTACCCATCTGGCTGCAACCTACACTGTGTTATATAAGAACAGTTGGATCTTGGAGGATGTATGCAACAGCGATGCAATAACTATTAAAATGCTAATTGCCGCACACATACTTGACTCCTCTTACCAGATAACTTATTTCTCATCGTATGTCTTGATGATGTCTTGCCTTTGTGCTATGTGAAGACAGCTTGGAGATGCACTATAAAACCAGTGCACTTATAATCCAGTTGTGTCAGCCTGGATGGCTGCTGCTGCATATAATAATAATAATAATAATACTATTAATAATGAGAATAATAATGTTAATAATTAAGAAATCTACTGGAGTCTTCTTTCTAGGCAGAAATATCCCTAAAATCCCTTCTTTGTTGGGGGGCGGTGGGGTAGCCTAGTGGTTAAAGCGTTCGCTCGTCACGCCGAAGACCCGGGCTCGATTCCCCACATGGGTACAGTGTGAAGCCCATTTCTGGTGTCCCCCGCCGTGATATTAGTGGAATTTTGCTAAAAGCGGCGTAAAACCTCATTATCGGGTGGTCAGGCTCGCTGACTTGGTTGAAACATTTTATCGTGTCCCAATTGCGTGGATCGATGCTCATGATATCAGTCAATTGATTGTCTAGTCAGAATTGAATTATTTACAGACCACCGTCATAAAGCTGTAATATTGCCGAGTGCGTCGTTAAACAACAAACAAAGAAACAATAAAAGTAAGGACGGTGTGATCTAGGTAAACATCGACGTTGTCCAGGAACGATTTTAACCAAATTACTGTTGAGTTAGGTGTCAGACATGGACAGGACAATCTAAACATGGAGTTAGCAGATGGTTATATGCAGCTGATGAGTTGAGTTGGCAGCAAACCAATCCTTAAGTACATACATGTAAACAAGACTACCCTTTCTCAGACCCAATTGTTGTCATTTGATTCCTATGACGATCTGCCAAAGTATATACCCTTTACGAAATAACAGACCCGGAACGTCCAGGAATACGCATGAAGATTGTCGTTACTAACAGTGCACTATACAACCCGTTGTGTTTTGTCAGCCTGGATGATTTCTCTTGAACCTCTGTAAGAGTATTGATGCTGCTGCTGCATCCCCCACAGTATAGGCCACACCATGCATTAGCTTGTTCATGGACCATGTCTATCAATAACCATGTATAGGTCAAAGGGTAATTCTCAAACCTACATTCATATACCGTTTCGTCTGTATAACCGCATCTGACCACAAATGATACCTTTAATCTGATATTATGGAAATGAGCGTGTGTGAACGTGTAATGCACACGGCGCGCACTTGAAAATACACTGCACCAATTCTAGAAGTTCCTGTGACCTCTTGCAAGATGTAAGTGCACTACCATAACGCCACAGATGAGTCACAACAATGGAGCAATTAGTTGAATTCTACTCGGAAACGTGTGTAAAAATAACAACTTGTAAGCCGTATTTTTTTCTGGCTAACAGTAGGTTCCTTCCTCACTATGCATTACCGGTAACATCTACGTGTAATGAGGCCGTCTCTAATATACCAGAGGTTCTAAATACGGTAAAGCACGGTTTTGTGCCTGCAGAAGAAATGTTCGATGCTTTTTTAGGGGTTTAGTTAAACTATATCTAACAATCCCGAGAGAAACTCATCACTGTCGTACAGACACTCTTTTAAGCAACATACATCTGTGTATGTGATTACCATGGCAATAAAAGGGACAAATTGAGTCATTCTGAGGGTCAGAAGCGAGAAAAGATGAAATGATAAAGCGTTCTCTATTTTCTAAAATGAAGAAGGTAATGTAGTAGACATTTTCGATCAAAGCAATGACCTCGTGAACAACCCACGCCTTCAATAACGAAGTCAGATCATGGGCGACAACTGATGTCGCCTCACGGTCATCCATCCAATTACTTTCTATACCCAGCAGCCATCTTGATCACCTGATCCACAGGGCACATATTGTAACCACTGGGTAAATTTCAAACAGAAACATCATAGATGACAGCATGCATTTCCGAGTGGTTAACCGTAGTCAATTTTCTTCTGAGCCAACCAACCGTCGTGAGCACTCTGTCTCTCTCAGTCTCCCCTAACGGAACCATTGAGCCATGGAATTATTGATTGTATGTCGGGACACCCATTGATAGCATTATTTTCTCCACTAAATCTGACAAGTGATATTAATGCAAAGCTAACAGCGAGGTCATATCCCAAAGAATTATGTTTCATTATTTGTCT